TTTTTTTTTTTGTAGCTGGCATCAAACTCAGGACCTTGCGCTTGCAAGGCAGCCGGCAGCACCACTGAGCTAAATCCCCAGCCCTCATTTTCTTTTTTCTTTCTTTCTTTTTTTTTTTCCTCTCATTTTCTTGATTTTAATAAAATGAGATTGATTTGGTGTGGCTTCTTAGCCTATTTTTATTGCAAATTTTCATAATTTTTTTTTCAGAGGGCTCACAAATCATCTGATGGACAAGGCTAAGGTTGTAGAATTTTGCGGTGGTTCTTCCACTATAGCAGTTGTCTTATAGAATCCCACTGTCCTGGTTGTGAAAATTGCCATATGCTGGACATTGATATCATTCCATTGTCCAGAACTTTTTTTGTTTTTTGGTACTTGGGATTGAAATCGGGACCTTGAGCTTGCTTAGCAGGCAGCAGATTCACTGAGCTAAATTCCCGGCTGTCCAGATCTTTTTAATCAATTGCAGACAGAGTAACACTAACCTGTTATATATCCTGCAGAAATTTATGATCCTTAGGTGTTGTTTTACAAAGCAGCAGGGGCCTAAGCTAGGAGAGGACGATGGAATATGAACACAGCTTATACATGAGAAAGGTGGTTAGACTGGGAGGTTTTCTTGTGATACTGTAGGGTTTTCTGAGTTATGTTCCATCTTCATGAGCTGATCCCCTAAGACTATGCTCTGGGTTCACTGGCCCATCCTTCTTACTTTTCACTGTCTCAGTGATTTTATCCAGCCTCATGGCTTTACCTACTTACACAAAGATGTATGAGTACACCTACACATAGAAGATACCTATATTTTTCTTTTGGGGCTTGAAATTTCCTTTTAGATTCAACAAAATGTGTAGCAATATAAAAATATCTAAGCAGATTCTGAAAGTACCAAGTGCGGAGGACAAAACCTGCCAGACGTTGAAAAACAGTGTGAAACTTCAATAAATTAAGCAGCATGATGCTGATATGTTTCAGGTAAAAGGGCCGAAAACCAAGACCAGACCAGGCCACAATAAGCCTTTATTAGGGGAATAGATCTGCTGAGCTGTCTCTCAACAAAGGAGAGACAAGCAGTATGGCCGGGGCAGGGAGTGTCTTTTATAGAGACTGGGATGGGGCTTGTAGGGGCTGAGGCGGGGTTGAGTGAGGTAGTGATTAGGGAATGGAGGAGCCAGTGATGTCTCTAGGTGGTAGGAGGTGAGCAAGTAATTAGGTTACTTTCTAGGCAGGAACAGGGGCATGCTGGGAGGAAGGGTTTATTCTTTGGTGGGAGCAACCATCTTGGCATGACGTCACACGGGAGGGGGCAAGGCACTATACATAATAGCTGCTGAGGTAGTGGGAGACCTATCAGTAATAAATACAAATTAAAAATACTTATGGCTGGTAGAGGTGTAGAAAATAGATATATCTGTTTGGTGTTGATGTTGTAAAATTGTCCTTTGTCTCATGGAATTTACTTCTAGAAATTTATTTTACAGAACATTCTAGAACATGTGCCAATTTCAGTATGTGTGCATAAGGTGATATATTGCAGTGTTTAATGGTAATAGCCCAACACTGGAATAAGTCAACTATTACTAGGAATTGGATTAAATTATGGCACACTAAGCATTAATACAGTGAAATAATGAGTGGAAAAAGCAAGGTGTAGAGCATTGTATTTAGTTGACTGTTAGTAGGGGAGCCTACATAATATTAGATAAATTCAAAATAGATTTGGGTAAAAGATTATTTTCGACTTTGTGAGCTATAGGGATCCTGCAAAATCCTACATCTTTTTTGTTTTGGTACCGGGGATCCAGCTCAGGACCTTGCGCTTGCAAGGCAGGCGACAGCACCACTGAACTAAATCCCTGGCCCCTTAATTTTTGTTTTTAAACCAGTTGTGTAGTAGACCTTTTCCTATTGTTACGGAAATCTTGGAAAGAAATACACAGAGACACAGAATTGGGATAAAATAATAAAATTTCTTCTCGCGAGTGGGCAGGAATGCCAGAAACCAGTCTGGTCAGTATCCATGCCCTTAGTTCAGCGTTTCCCTTTTCATATCCTTTTTAGCCATTATCTCATCCCTAATGGTCTTTGATGTGTAAATACAATTCCAGTTCCTATTTACAAGTCACAGACACAAGATAGGCACATGTACATTGTAAATTCACCCTGGGCTGGTAACTTTGTTAGGTTAACGAAGTTACTGGTTAGAGTCAGATTGTCACCTTAAACAAGGCTTTACGGGAAAAGCAAATCTTAAAAGAGCACATTATTTATTTTGCTTCTACAACTACCTTAATATTCAATGTATTAACTTATCTAAAACTTTTCCATATCATTATAACTACATATAAATTGGATTTACTGTTTTTGTTAGTTGCAGAGTATTGTAGTTATTGGTAAACCTGCAGACTATTCTTGCCGTAATCCATTATCTGCTAGAAAATGAGATGTCACTTTACTCATGCTAATATTTATTTTTCAGGATATATTCACATGTTAAATTGCTGGGTATTCATATAAAGTTTATACTATTGTAGCTTGTGAAATATTTATCCTCTTCAACTCTTTGAATATCCATTTTTCTACACTCTTGCCAGCATTAGACGTTAGCAATTTTTATTCATTTTTTTCTTTTTATTTATTTATTTATTTTCATTTTTTTCCTATTTGATGAGAGAAAAATGCCATCTCATTTTGTGAGGCATTTCATTAGTGAAAGTGTCTTGTGTGGCTTGTTTCTTTTCTTCTTTGTGGTACTGCGGATTCAGTCCAGGGCCTTTGTAACTGGGCTACATGTCTAGCCCTTTTTTAATGTTTAATTTTGAGACAAGGTCTCAGTAAATTGCCCAGGCTGGGTTCAAACTTGTGATTCTCCTGCCTCAGCCTCTAGGAGTTCTGGGGTTACAGGTGGGCCAGCACCCCTCACTTCTGTTGTCTTTTCTTCATCTGTAGTGTTTCCTATATAACAAAGCTGAGGTAAATGGCAATATGACTTGGCAAAGTTGAGTGTTGGATGCTTAAGTGTTAGGATGCTCTCTACTTTTACTACATGCCTATAATGTTTCATAATAAAAAAGAAGACCCTGCTAGCTGGGCATGATGGCACATACCTGTAAACAGGCTGGGAATTCTAAGGTCAAAGTGCTGGCATTTGGTGAGGGCCTTGTTGTGCCATCCTGGATTGGAAAGCAGGAAAATGAGAGTGCTTTCCTCACATGCAGGAGGCCCTGGGTTCTATCCCTAGCACTGAAAACAAAAACCAAAAATCCTCATGTGTTTAAAAAAAAAAAAAAAAGTCCTGTGGTTGAATGGGTTATCTTTTATGTGTATGCTTGATTTTATAGTAACCAAGATATGATCCATGTTTTTAAAAATCTTCCCTTAACACACGATGGGGCAGTAATTCATATGTCTTGCTGTCTAGCAGTTAGGAACTATCACCGGTCTCCAGAGCTTTTTTATCCCAAACTGCAACTCCAGACACATTAAACAAGAATTCATGTGCACATGTACTAGTTTAAAAAAAAAGAGAGGGGGGCCGGGAATTTAGCTCAGTGGTTCTGCAGCCTGTCTTGAAAGTGCAAGGTTCTGAGTTTGATCCCTGGTGCCAAAAAAAAAAGAGAGGGGGCTGGGGATATGGTTCTGCCGCCTGCTTCGCAAGTGCAAGGTCTGGAGTTCAATCCCCAGTACCAAAAAAAAAAAAAAAAAAAAAAGACAGAATTTTTTATCTTTCCCTTAATCAAAAATTTTAACTTTTTCATTAGTTAGTTTGTTTGTTTTTGAGTCAGGGTTTCAGTATGTAGTTTAGGCTGGCCTTGAACTCACTATGTAGCCCAGCCAGGCTTTGAACTCCTGGCAATCCTCCTGCCTAGGTCTCCAAAGTGCTGGTATTACAACTGTGCACCACCACACCTGGCCTTAACTTTTTCGTTAGTAAGTAGCTGACTTCACTGAAAGAATATGTTTGTATATGTCTTCACACAAATTACAAGAGAATGATAAGAGAAATGTATGTGTGTTCAAACAATATAAATGTGAAAAGTGAGGAGGTTCCTACACCCTAGAGCTAACCAATGATAAGATTAGTCTTTTAAACTTTAAAGACTATCTTCTTCAGAGTAGCGAATGTAAGATGACAACTTCAATGCAACTGAAAAGGTTCCCAAAGCACTGGGGGAGGTCATGTTCTTTCCCTGATCTTTCCTTTCATTAAGATCAGTATGGGGCCGGAGATTTAGCTCAGTGGTTTCGTCTCCTGCTCTCTAAGCGCAAGTACCTGAGTTCGATCCCCGGTATCCAAAAAAAAAAAAAAAAAAAAATCAATACATGTTCTGTTTTTTACTTCCTTGAGGAAAAAGGTCCTTATAGCTGGTTATTACCCCTTGATCTAGGGTACAGTTAATGTAAATTCATTATGGAATATGGTTGGGTGGATATTCTTCAGAAGTACTGAGATTTCTTTTTCCTTTTCTTTTTTTTCTTTTTTTTTGAGATTTTTTTTTTACTTCATTTCAGCCCAAACATTTTTTTCTGGAATAGTTCTGTTCTGTGTCAAGGGTAGTTTATTTCATTTTACTGAATATTCTAGGCTTAAAGCTGTCTATGGCATGTCCCTGATACAATTCCTTACATACAGAGACCCTAGATTGCTCCTCCATGCCCAGGGACACTGATATCTGTGCAACCCTGTGCCATTGTGATTTACAAAAAGATATATATACATATCTATGTACTTAGTGTACATGCCAGTTTATAGAACCCTTGAGTCTGTAAAGTGGTTGTCTTTGTATAGCAGAGCAATGACTCATGGCTAGGGGGTCCTAGATAGCCTGAGGATAGGAGTTGGTTGCCAGGGGAATGGCCAGTGGTGCTCTCAGTCATATTTACATAATGAAGTCTCTATAAAAACCCAGATGGACTGGGTTTGGGAACTTTCATGTAGCTGCATACATATGGGTGTCTGAAAGATACAGGTATCTGAAAGATGGTGTGGCTGTAGAGGATATGAAAATTCTACATCCCTGCCCACATGCTTTGCCCTTTCCATGTCTGCCATCTGGCAATTCATCTGTATGTTCTATAATGGCCTTTGTAATAAATGGATGAGTGTAAGTAAAGTATTTCCTTGAATTCTGTGAGTTCCTTAAGCAAAAGGGGGGCGTGTCATGTGAACCTTGATCTATAGTCTGTAGGTCAGAATCACAGGTCACAACCTGGGGCTTATGATTGGCATCTGAAGTGGAGTTAGTCTGTGGGACCAACCACTCAACTTGTGCAGTCTGACTCTGTCTCCAGGGAAGTAGTGCTAGAATTGAGTGGTATTACAGGACACCCAGTTGGTAGGCACTGGAGAATTGCTTGGTGTTGGGCAGAAGCCCCACATTTGATGTCAGAAATATGTCATATGACATGTAACAGTAGGAGAACACTGGGGTTTTTTCCTATCCCTAATAGCCCTGTGAGCTGTGGGTGTAGCTCAGTGGTAAAGTGCTTGCCTAGCTTCCAAGAGGCCCTGGATTGCATCCCTAGTACTGAGGAAGGAGTACAAAAAGCCCCTGTGAGCAGTGCCCATATTACATTTTCTTTGCAGTAGCCCTAGGTTAGAATATAGAGTATTTTTCTTTTAAGTAATCCCAATACCAATGCGTCGTTTCTTAATCTGCCTGCCTGCCTCCCTGCTTTCCTTGCGGTGCTGAGGATCAAACCCAGGGCCACCTTGTGGTAGGCATGTACTCTACCTCTGAGCTATATCTCCAGCAGAAGCATGTTCTATTTTTTAAAAAAATCTGTTTCATTATTATGAAGTAATGTGTGGTCTTTACTATTATATTTGTCTTTGGGTGGACTCCCTTGAGAGCATAATCACCATTTAGCTCATACTTTCTGTGCAAGAATGAAATATAAATTTTAAAAAACTCAATATTACGTGTCAAAACACAGGTTTTATTATACCTGTGCCCATCATTGATCAGCTTTATGACTTTGGAACAATCTCTTTAACTCAAAGACTTGTTTTTTCACCAGCATAGATTGTATGTAGCACTCTTGCCTTATGGGTTAATGGGACGATCAGATGAGCTTATCTTTTGTCTGCAGCCTGCTCCATTCAGCAGCTGGAATACCCAATATGTGCCAGACCATGCTGCATATGACAGAGACAAAGCAAGATGCAGTCTTTGCTTTTGAGGAGTTCATGTCAAAGGAAAAAGTGATAGAATAAAGGATTATACTAGGAGTATGAGCAGTTTCCTTTACACTCCTCCCAAAGGGTGATTAGTTTTTTAAAAATTTATGTATGTATGTATGTATTTTTTTCTGGTACCAGTGATCAAACTCAGGACCTTGTGCTTTCGAGGTAGGTGAGGTATCACTGAGCTAAATCCCTGGCCCCTAGTTTTTCTTACTTGTTTTTTTTTGGGGGGGTGGTACCAGGGATTGAACCAGGGACTTTGCGCTTGCCAGGCAGGTGTTGGTACCACTGAGCTAAATCCCCAGCCCCTGGTTTTTCTTAAATTTAATTTTGTTTTTTAGTACTGGAGATTGAACACAGGACCTTTTTATATTTTATTTTGAGACAGTGTCTCACTAAGTTGCTAAGGTGCCCAGACTTGGCTGGAATTTGGAATCCTTCTGCTTTTTAGTGTTTCGGAGTGCTGGGATTACAAGTGTGTACCACTACAACCAGCTTCTAAACTCTTGTTTTACTTTTCTTCATCCTCCTTTTATTTTTATTTATTTATTTATTTATTTATTTATTTATTTATTTATTTTTGGAGGGAGGATGAACAGCAGTTTAATTCCTCTGGTACTATTCGACCTCTTCATCCTCCTTTTAGACTTGCTAACTACTAGACTAGAACTCATCTATTTCAGAGGAAAGCTTTGCTTTAATCAAATGCTTCCTTTCTATTTAGCTCCAAAACCTTGGAATTAATCTAGCAAACATTGGATTCAGCACTCTGACCATGGAATCTGACAAGTTCATTTGTGTTTGAGAGAAAAATCGGAGAGCAGTCACAGGTGGTAATTATTGACATGAGCAACCCAGTGGCACCCATCAGACGTCCTATCTCTGCAGAGAGTACCATCATGAACCCAGCCTCTAAGGTGATAGCTCTAAAAGGTAAGCCTGAGGGATCTTAGAAAGAATGTTATCTTTTTTTATAAAAAGGCTTTTATTGGGCTGGGGATTTAGCTCAGTGGTTTCACTCCCTGCTGCGCAAGCACAAGGACCCGAGTTCAGTCCCTGGTATTTATTTATAAAATGTGGATTAATCACACCTACAATGTGCTAAGATGGTTTTTGGGGTTTTTTTTGTCTTTTGAGACAGGGGCTCACAATGTAGCCCAGGCTGGCCTTGAACTTGAGGGAGTCCTCCTGCCTCAGCCTCCTGAGTGCTGGGATCACAGGCGAGTGCCACCATGCCTGGTCACTAAGTTGGTTTTGGAATTGATCCTGCAACACAGCAATCAAAGGATGAGCAGTCAGGGCTCCCAATCCTGGGCACCAAAATGTTAGTCCTCTGGCAACTCAATCTACAGAGTTTTTCTTCAGTTGCTTTTTGTGATTTCCTGTGGGTCGTGCTGTAGTGCTCTGTATTTCTTTTGGTTTTTTGTGGGTTTTTTCTTTTTTTTGGTACCAGGGATTGAACTTGGGACCTTTCGAGGCAGGTGGCAGAACCAGTGAGCTAAATCCCCGGCCCTGTAATGCTCTGTATGACAGACAGGTCCAACTTTGAGGAAGAGTGACAACCCACATCCTCTGCTTTTATGGCTTGGCTTGGTGACTACCTTAGGGGTGGTGAGCTTTTGGAAGGCACTCTGGGTGTTCCACGAAGACCCATGGGGCCTGGATGGTCCTTTCAAATTGCTGATGGTGAATAAATGGATATGGAAGCACCTGTACGTGATGAGCTGCTGGATGGATGTTGCACCTCTCACTGATAATCACATTTGACAAATTCTTGTCTTTTCTTGGAGGACCTTCAGGGGCTTTAATGAGAAACCAACATCTTTTCTTGGTACTGGGCTTCAGGCCTACACCACCCCACTTCCCCCAGCCAGGCAGCGTCAGGTCCACATCTTTTGGGTTATTTGCCTCCATAGCCTCCCTCTTCTCCTTCAAAAGATCTCTAATGGCACCATCTCTAGCAAAAGCTTCCTTTATCATCTGCTTTAGGTTTCTTTCCACTTCATCTTCCAATTCCTCTTTTGCTGTGGGAATGGCAAAAGAGTTCATGGAAGGAGATTTTGTAGTTAGGAAGTTCTGGAGATCAATCATTTGCTTCTTTTTCTGCCTCTTAGGGAAATCAGTCTGGTTATTTGTTTTTCTTTTCATTTGTTCCCATTTTGTTGTTGTTGTTGTTGTTGTTTTGATACTGGGGATCAAACTTGGGACCTTGTGCTTGCAAGGCAGGCACCGGAATCACTTAGCTAAATCCCCAGCCCCATTTTTTTTTTAATAGAATCGAATATTTAATTTTCCCCCACAGTAAGCAAAGCAAACATCATTATTCTTGGTATATCAAATTGAATTCTCGGAATGTAATAAAGTCTACCTTGGAAATATTACATAGAAAAAGACTGAATTAACAAACAGTGCATTGTTTAGTTTTTTCTCATAACTATACATTGACATCTACTTATCTGATAGCAGCTCTGTGGGTTTTGAGTTTTTTGAGTTTTTTTCCTCCTTTTTCTAGAGGGAATGCAGAATGGCAATATTATCTTTGGAACGAATAAGACAGAAAATAACAAAAGAATAACTTCACATATATTCTTAAAGGGACAAATAGATAATCTATTTCTGGAAAAAATATATCTCAGATGTGCTTTACTCAAGGTATACTGTGTTTTTTGTTTGTTTGTTTGTTTGTTTTTTCTCACCACTGGTACCAGGAATTAAACTCAGAACCTTGCACTTGCTGGGCAGGCACAGCGCCACTGCATTTGCTCCCATTTTAACAAAGGTCTGGGAAGCTCCTTATTTTGAAAATTCCCTTCTTTGTCCACATCTTCTAGTTCTTCCAGAATTTGTACTCTCTCTGGCCTCTGAAGCAGCAGAGATTCCTCTTCTTCTGGTGCACATTCTTCTCCCTGGACCCGGAGAACAGTCCTTGCCTGACCCACTGTTTGATTCCTGGAGTCTTGGCTTTCCTTGTTGAGTTTCTGATTCATTGCCCTCAATTTGGATAATATGTCCTGGCCGTTAGAATCTTTTGTTTCTTGGTTGCCTACTGGCTCAGTATCCTGTTTGAGCTCAAATCTTTTTCTAAGGGATCATCTTTCCTCAAATTTTTCCAACAAAATTTCTTCCTCTGCTGCAGGTCTTTCTGCTGCAGGTCTTTCATCTTCCTCACTTTTAGAAAAGTTCTGGACAACAGGCTCAGGGAGTTGTTCAGGGTCTGTCTGGATTTCACTTTCTTTTGCATTATTGTTACAGTTCCTAAGCATCTAAGAATTTGGTGTATCTGCACATAATCTGTACTTCACTACATCAGGGACAAGAGGGTCTTCCTCTTTGGCACCCTTCTCCTCGTCCTCACTCTCTGAGATTACCTGGAGTTTCTCTGTCAGTTCTTTTTTCTTAGACAGTTGTTGCACAGCTTGGTGAGCCTCCAGGTCATATCTGGCCATATTTGTCTTTGACTTGGCCCATTTCCCACTGTTCTGGTGCTTAAGGTTCATTCACTCCATCATTCTGGCCTTTTTACTTTTTTCCAGTTCACCCAGTGCAGCAGTAGAATTCACTTTCCACAGCTGATCAAAGTCTTTTAGGGGTTTCTTGGCCTTTTCTTTCTTTACAAATCTGTGAAACTTTTTACTTTTGATTTTCCTCTCTTTTTGTGCCCTGGATTCATAGTAGGACTGCAAAGCCCAAGCCCTCTGAAGCTTTGAGAGGCCTTTTCCATGGGAGCCAATAAAGGGTCTGTCACTGGGTACTTGTTCTTATGAAGCAGATTAAAAACTTCTTACTCCAGAGGGGTTCTTGCCTTACAGTCACTGAAGACAAGTTCAGTGTGAACAAAGGCTGACTGCTCCTTCTCCAGGGGAAACACCAGCTGCTCTTCTTGCTGGTTCTTGAGAATAATAGGATCCCATTTGGAGAGGGTTTGTGATGCTTTATTGAATGCTACTTCTCTGTGGATCTGTTCAACTTCTTTTTTGTTATGGGATAATTCCACAGTCTTCTTGGATTTAACTCTATTCAGTTCCTTTTTTCATAGCTGCCAATGAAGATGAAGTTCTAACAAGCTCAAGAAGATCTGAAAGGACCAGCTTTTCTCCTTACCCTTCAGGACTCATAATGAATTCTGATCCCTTCAAACTAGCTTCAGATCTCTCCGCCAGTTTCTACCTATTCTTTTCATCAAGAGAACCAATTGCTTTTAGAAGTTTTTGATACTTTCTCCACCACTGTCCCCCTCATCTTCACTAGCACTGAAAGGGTAGTTGTTTGGTAATCCACAAGTTCTTCCTGCTGATATAAAGTCAGGAGGCCCTCCATAGCCTGGATTGCATTCATTTTGGTAGCTTGCATCAACCATATGGGTTAAGAGTGGAAGCGAAAAGCTTTTTTTATTTTTGAGAAAGCAGATTTTTATTTCATGGATTTTCTCCGTTTTTCTGTTTTCAATTTCACTAATTTTCACTTTTGATCTTGTATTAGTCCATTTTCTATTCCTTGACTTACATCTTTGCTCCCTTGGGAAGCTGGTGTTGAACTGACCCTCTGGCTGTGGACAAAACCCACCTTCCTGGGTACCAAGGAGTCCAAGTAGGGTGGCAGTGGCATCTCATTTGGTGGCACCCACTCTGACCGGCGACACACAGTGTGTGTTCAGTTGCCAGCCTGTGGCAGCTACTTCACCACAAATTGCAACTCTTGTCAAACAAGTGCCACGAGGGGCCTCTGCCACGCAGCGAAAGAATGTTATCTTACTGAAGCTGCTTTGTAACCTTAAATATTAGGCAAATGTCAGTAAACTCACAGACAAGTGTCATCAGTAATATTCAACTTGATACCAAAAGTTTTAGTAAAAGTTGCATGTAGTGCTAATAAGAGCACTGAGTCTAACACTGTTGGTGAGATTGTAAAATAGTACAGCCAGTATAGACACTATAGAAATCAGTATATAGGTTCCTCAAAAAACTAAAAATAGGACTGCCATGTGACCAACCTGTAACACTCCTGGGTACATACCCAAAGGAATCAAAACATACTATGGAGATACCTGCACACCTGTGTTTATTGTAGCACAATTCACAATTGCCAAAATATGGAGCTGAGGTGCTATCAATAGATGGATAAAGGGCCGGGGATTTAGCTCAGTGGTTCTCGCGCCTGCCTTCAAGCGCAAGGTCCCGAGTTCGATCCCCGGTACCAAAAAAAAAAAAATAGATGGATAAAGAAAATATGGCATATATACATAATGGAATGTTTATTATTCAGCTGTAAAGAACAAAATCATGTTATTTGTAGGAATATGGATAGTACTGAAGATTGTCGCTTTAGTGAAATAAACTAGACTCAGAAGGATAAATATCACATGCTTTCTCTTATGTGAAATCTAGCAGATAAAAGATGACATAAAAGTAGAAGGGAGACTTGAAAAAGGGACAGGGGATCCGCAAGGTGGAGGGGAAAATAATGAGGAAGTAGATATCAGAATAGTATACATGCATGAATGACAATGCTATTATGAAACCCATTATTTTGTCTAATTAATATGCACTAATAAAAGAAAAATACTCATGAGCATCAAAGCTTCTTTGTAATGTCACCCAAAGCTCTGGACATACTGAGAAGGAGTACATGCTCAGGACCTGTCCTTTTGGGTCTGGAAACTCAGGGTAGTACCCTGTGTGTTCAGGGCCCGCTGTGGGTCTGGTCCAGACATCTGGGGATACAAGCCCAAAGACCTCTCTCTGGTGAAATACAATAAGGACAGGAGAGCTGACCATTAATAGAATTTCACTTCCCTGAACTCAGGGAACCTTGAGTATGTGAAACTTTCTAGGTAACTTGAGAAATACAGTATCTTTCTGTATTGCCTTGATATGGAAAAAAAAAAAGGATTATGTATATAGTGGAGTCACTACTTTTCTCTTATATTTAAAAAA